TACGGGCCACAGTTTTATTTTCCATGTATAACATTCATTTTCGATTTTTGTGACCCTTTCAAGTATCGAGCAGGTTGATGACCTACTATGGAATCTTGACGCGCAGTGGTCCGTGAAACGTTCACTTCTGACTTTAGTAATAACAGGAAACAAAGTTACTTCTGAGGGCATTGGTAAAGAAGCAAAACCAAATGTGACCCAAATTCATGTAAAAAGGATGAAAAGGGACTTTGCTGAGGTATTCGATGATTCGAAGTATGTCATTCTCATCTTGTCTGCTTCCTCATGTCTAGACAGAGTCGCATTTGGAAGTGATTTGGTAGAAACTCTCACTCCCTTTGAACAATCAACATTAGATGCCATAACGTAGCTCTAAATAGTGTACATGACTTATAAACTTTACACGCCACATTTTAAAAAACTTTTTTGTTGGCTGTAAATGCTTACGAAAAAATTTACTTGTTCCCAAGACCGTGTGGCTCGCCAGCGGGCCACATCAGCAGCCCGCGAAAAGCGCGCTCGGTCCCACACGCCAGACACGCTAAAAAGGCGCGGTCGCCAATGGGTTAAAGGCAGAACGTTTCAGGTAAAAATTGATCAGTCGTTCTCGAGCCCGAGAAATGTAGAAAGTGGGGTTCCACAAGGAGTGTATTACCGCCTGTCCTTTTTTAACATTTTTACAGCTGAAATTCCGCGCATGCTATGTGAAGTAGGAGTTAGGATAAAGGAATATGCAGATGACTCGAAAATTTGCAAACCAATTTTTAGTCCGAATTACTCGAAAGTTCTACAAGAGGTGATTGACCTAACGGTTGAATGGTCCAAACAGTGGCATTTGTCATTAGCTTCGCTAAAAGCGATTTACATGAAACTAGTGTCTGGGAGTTCATTAGATCATTTGTATAATGTTGATGTGGTCCCTCTTACTGCTGTCGAATCGATTAGAGACCTAGGTTCCAATTATAACAACAAACTGGATTTTCCGGAACATATAGCTAAAAGGGTAAAAATGGCTAATACTCGCATATTTCAAATCTTCAATGGATTATCTACTAGACATAAAGGAGCATTGCTTTGTGCTTCCAAATCATACGTTCGTCCGTTATTAGAATCTAGTTCTACTGTTTTCAATCCATCAAAAAGATAACATATACGAAGAAGGTTCAGAATAACTTCACTCATAAATTGCTAATTCAACACAATGCTTTATTCTATGACAAAATACCAAAAGCTGCAATCAGGAACAAGTATCTGAGAATATCAACTCTTCAATCCAGACGTAATATTTTTGACCTTTGTTTAGTTCACAAAATGATACACGGGCTATCTAATTCCGGTTTATGTAACGTTTTTAAATTAATGCCCTCGAGAACAAGAGGAGGATTCAGCAAGATTTTCCTCAGCCAACCCAAGACAACTTTGCGAGCCAAAAGTTTCTCGTTTAAAGCTGGGAGTAATTATTTGATGCTTTCAAAAAGTACCTTTGAACATACCTTCGGCTCAATTTAGACACTGGATTTCTAAAATGCCGTTGAGATATGAAACAGAGTAAGAGCGTTTTTATGTGACAGATTGCTGAACTATAATACTTTTATTATACATACATACATACATACATACATACATACATACATACATACATACATACATACATACATCCCACACATTCTGTAGATG